CACACACACACACTACCCCTCTCCTCACACACACACACTACCCCTCTCCTCACACACACACACACACACACACACACACACACACACACACACACTGTGATAGCAGCGGGATTGAGGGGAAATGAGGATAAAGGACTATTCTCATCTAAATTATCTCATCATTTACTCAGCCCCCTACCATCCCAGATGTGTAAGACTTGTTGATTTGAACACAAATATTAGGAGTTTAGAGTTTTTAGATGAGTAGGTTGATAGAATGTAAGGAGACAAATTGTGTAAAAATCTCCAGTTCATGATCAGGCGAACAATGAAAATCACACACATACCATCCGAGATGAAATTAGATTCATGCCGCTTAGCCGAAACGAGTAGGTCGGCACTAGAGTCCGTTTTGAGAAAAAAAACAGCACTATAAATGAATATCTCGATTACGGGCAATTTAGTTTATGATATATAATTTACCATACGCTAAAACTATATAAGAAAGAATGTAACATTTCTGGTTTCCTAGACTAGCAGCTAAATAGCGATGTCGCTAGCTATTAATAGTCTGACTCCGACGGTCAATTACTGTCAAGTTGTGTCAACAATGTTTTAATGACCAAATACAACCAGATCAGTGTCAGTCAACAACTTTTCAGTCTTACCTGTGAAAAGTAATTCCCCGAGACCTATTTTCAATTGTGCGGCGGTTTGTACAGCCCCAAGCAGCACACGACTGAGGCATTTTCTCGAGTCCACTTATGAGAATGATGGAAAAGATGCCCGCACCAAGATGGCGGCGACGTTGACGTACGATCCAGCGGCCAATGAGGCGTCTAGGTATTTATATGTCTATGGCGGGCACTGTCACTATGTCAAATCCAGGCATCGCGCTTCCTTGGTTACCAGCCTAGCAACGCCAATACATTTCACAAGCGGATAGGTTACTGACCGAAAACAGGTAATGTTAACAAACTAAACCTTTTAAACGTATCTTAACAACAACTTACAAACACATTTCCAAATAAATTATCGTGTTTAAGTTATTGCTCGACCTGCAGACCGTTGGACAGGTGACGAGCTGTGTTTTTATAAAAATGTGCCAAACTCTCTTCTCACAGATGTGTTGACATCTGCAAGATACGACGTGGCTTCATTTTAAAATGTGAAAACGACCAATTTAATTCTAGTTCTAGTTCTGACAATGTAAAGACGAAAACCAAAGTGCTGAACATGGAGATGCCGGTGAGTGAAAAGTGAAGTTGTATTTAAGGCGTATAGAATATGTTTATAGTTAACGTACTTTCTCATGAATAACTTATCGTAGAATGGCTCTCACACGGAGTGCATGATATACACTATTAACTTACAACACAAATTCCTAATAATAATAATACTCGCACTGAACATCTTCCTTTTTTCCCTTTGGTAAAAAGAACCCCCTCAAGAAACCAGATAAAACTGTGGGTCTTTTACCACAGAGACAGCAGGTAAAGCCTGGCACTCATCCACCATATCTTTTTAAGTCAAGATTATGTCTTCTCAACCAACAACAGTGTGGCTTGTAACCTTTAGGTTCAGTCTAAACCTCGGTGGCATGAAGCAAGCCCTAGCTTTAGACTTCAGGGACCATCTCAAGAGGACATCCTTGGCTCTTTGCTCTCTAGTATGTGATACAATGGCTTTTGATTTATGAAAAACATATACTATATTACATTTGCAATCCAGACTGTACTATCTGTGAGAACATGCTTCAAACTTCCCTTAAGGAGATGTGCAAGGAGCAGGGGTACACTGGCGTCAGACTCGTCATCGAGGTCCACAGCATGTGGGGACCAAAGATGGAGGGCTTTCAGGACTTTCTTACAGGCATCGTGGCGGTGTCCAACCCAAGAAGGATCGTGAGCAGTTTCGCAGTGCTCTTGTCAGCATTATTATGTGGGTTTGATTTGCATAAAGATGAGATCTTGATGATAAATTGTACCTGTCACATACAGTATATTCACTAAAAGAACAATATGATTTCAGGCACCGTGAAGATGCCATTGCTAAGTCCATCACAGAAGACAGCACCCCATCCACTTCGGGATCGCCTACTGCTGCAGAGAAGGACATTTTGGTAAGCAATGACCTTTTATCTGTGCATTTTAGTTCAGTTTCATTTCATCTCATATGTGAGGCATTAGAATAAAAGGTAGTCATTCCTGTATTAAAACTACTGTATGTCCTTATGCCGTTTGTCCACAAACATTGTGTCTTGTTTTCTGTCTTTCAGAGATACTACTATTACATCCGCAATGGGATAGGCACAGAGGACGTGGCAGCTATGGAGGACTCTTGGCTTAAGAATGTTCTTGCTTTAGTCCCAGAACACCTGAAGAGTTTGAGTGGAACCATTGAGACTCTCTCAGATGAGATGAGAGAAGACTATCTGCTCAGTGTCAAAAAGGCCATAGGTATGGTCTTCTGTTTGGCTAATTTGGCAGTTTGCAAATTAGACACAGTAGCTTTATATATTTCAGTGGTCTAAAGCACAGAGATCTTGGAGAAACATTTTTCACTCAATGCCTATGAAAAAAATCAGATGTTTAGTCTAGGTGCTTGTTCCTACAATATATATCTTACTGTTATTTTTAATAAACAATCATGTTTAACAATAATTTTTAGTCTCTATGCTACTGTCTAAATGCCATGACCAAGTATTGTGTGTGGTGTTGTCCTCTGCTATCCATGTAGTGGATTTTGTGCTGCAAGACCCCAGAGAGAATCAGGAGTCCAAAGCTAGAGATCTCCCTGCACACAGACAGGAGTGAGTCCTGACAAAACACAAGACAAATAGAGTGTCTTAGGCATAAAACTGACCATAAGGAATTCTAGTTAATGGTGTATATTTGTCAAAATAATGTAGATTCTTGAAAGTAATTGTTTTCTTCTAAATTCAAATTTAGCCTTACATTATGTGATTTGTGACTTTGATGTACCAATAACTTCTGTGGTATAAGTACTTTAAAACTTTGTTTAATCCCCTTCTTCTAATCCCTATTAGCATCCTTTACTGTAGCAAGATTTGTAATATGCATAAAAATCAATAGTTCATTCCTTTTTATCTGCCAAAATGACGCAAAGCATTTTGAATTATGTTAATATTGTTAAATGGCAATATGAAAATAGTGTTACTGGTAAATTTAAAAAAGCAATGTTAAAAAACACACACACACATATATATATATATATATATATATATAAATAAATGTTTTATCAATATTCTGTCAATCATTGTGTATTAAATTCCCCCTTTGTTTCTTGCAGAATGGAAATTATTCCAAAGCCATGGAATAAATCATTTCTTCAGGCCCAGAAAAGAATGAGACACCAGCTTCACTCAATCAATCCCACTATGCTCGCAATACTAGATCTGTGGCAAGTGTCTTTCAAGTAAGTGTCAGATGACCATGAAGAATGTCCACTGTGGGACAGGACAATTGAACACTGAAGGCATTGAACTGCATTGTAACAAATTAAGCCCCTTGTGGAAAAAGTAGGGCTGGGTTTTGACACAAATTTCACGATTTGATTCAATTCTCATTCACAAGCTTGCGATTCGATTCGATTACCAATTCGATTCGATTCAATATCGATTATTTTAAATATATATATCAGGTACAGTAGGCTGCATGCCAAATTTTCTCAAGGAAAAAAAAAAACTCTCTCAACGAATGCCGTAAAATATACGTGAAAGTCAGTTAGTACTAGCTACATTACTATAATATTGAAGGTTAAAACTGATTTATAGGCTACACAACTGCTAAAATTACACTTAAGTTTTTAAAATAAAATTACATAATTTTAGTTTTTTTTAAATAGGCTATAAACATTTAAATAGTGGCCGTCATAAAACTTTATGGATTTATTCAAACAAATTAAACACTGAAGAACAGTGAAAATTATAATGAAGATGTTTTATGGTGCATATATTTAACAACATGACCCTCTCTATGGTTTATTTTTCTAGCTGACTAATGAGTTTATGGTCACCGAATAGGTTTTTCTGAGGTAAATGTGATGTTACGTGACATTGTTTACAAGCCGACTTTGCAAGGCTGAAACACTGAGCGATTACATGAGACAGGATACGTATTGTAAAGTTGTACTCTTTCTTTTAACTTACCTTCAGATGTTTAGTCATGTTTATTTTGTGCTGAAACTGGTATTAATGTGGAGGAGATGATCAGTTCACGTGCGCCTCGCGTCTGTTGATCTGAGGCGCTACAGCGATCCGTCACTCCACGTTAAACAGCGCCAAAACGGCATTTCTTGTTTGAATGTTACGACGTAACCAGAACATGAGACTTGTGGATCCATGTGCAAAGCTTTTATTAAGACGTGGTCATAAACAGGCATAGGTCAGACATAGGCAAACTGGTATGTAGAAGACAAGGCAAGGGTAGTCCGGTAACCAAGCGAGGGTCAGTCGACGACGAACATAATCCAACAGGGTGAGACTAGGGAGATAATCCAGGTACAAAGCAAAGGTCCAGGCAGGGGCAAACAGTATCCAAACAGGGCAAGACGAGAGAGGTAATCCAAAGTACACAGGCAATGATCAGAAGACGAGGAAACAGGCTAGGCTAGGCTAGGCTAGGCTAGGCTAGGCTAGGCTAGGCTAGGCTAGGCTAGGCTAGGCTAGGCTAGTAGAAATGGCTCCGTAAAGTAGCTATCACTAGGTGACTCGGCAACTTGACGGGGATCAGAGTGAGTGTATATATAGGGAAGGTGTGATTGATGACAGCTGTGTGCAATCAACTGTAGCTGTGTCTCATTTAGAAGGCTGCACCCTCCGGAGGTCGAATCCTCTGGAGGTCGCATCCTCTGTAGGATGCATATATGAAGTGTCCTCAACCTAGAATTAAACGAGACGGCCTGAGAAGGAAACCGGAAGTATCACGTTGCTATGCCAACACATTTAGAGAATCGTTGCGCTCTCACACTACTTAAATGAAGGAAAATTATTTCTAATTTTGGAAAGTAATTTGAAAAAAAAAAATGCTTTTACTTGTTTTATTTTGTTCAATGTTTGAGGAGCTGCTGCAGCATACATACAGCAGACATCTATTAGAGAAAAAAAGGAGGAGGATATTAAAAACAAAGTTTATCCGTTTTTACCGAGGCGAATTAAGGTAAGTTGTAAACACCACATCTGCGCTTGTGTGTACGTTACATCTGTCGGCGCCGGCATTTTTCAAATTAACAACGGTTGTTCACGGCGACGCAAAGAATTGTGGGTTATCTGTAGCAGCGAAGGATACACCTCATGCATCCTCCGAATTCCTGTGAAAGAAGGTCGCATTCGGAGTGTCCTACTTGCTTTTTCGAAATGAGACAGCCTCGATGACGTATGCAGCCTTCGAATGCGACCTCCGGAGGACGCAGCCTTCTAAATGAGACACAGCTTGTGTGTGTGTAATCAGTGTAATGGATGATGGGAACTGTAGTCCGGGTGAAGTGCAACAGTGGTGTGGTGAGTCCATAGTAGTGGAAGGGGGACCTCTGGTGGCGAGCAAACAGAAGTTCATGGACCGGATTCGTGACAGAATACTGCAGTACAATGGACAGAATTTGAAATCTGAGACTTTGTTTCATATTAAAAGAATCACTTATTTGCGATTTATTGGATGGGAAGTGCTCTTCAATGTTCTGTCCATTAACTGAAAACAGGCTAGACTAATCGATTCTTGGGATTTAAGAATCGATATCGTTTGGTAAAAATGAGAATCGATAAAAATCGAGATATCAATATTGTTTACCCAGCCCTAGGAAAAATACTAAATACTTTAGCATCACACAGAAACTGGTTACTCATATGTTGCAGTGTTATGAAGAGTTCAATAACAAGCGAGTTACTGACAAATTTCCAAAACATTTTATCAGTAACCTGTCAGTAAAAGAGCACTTATTACAATAATTATATACTTTAAAACAATACATTTAAGTGCAAACTGAATGTAATATTTTTAGACACTTTATTGCACTAAATGTAATTTAAAGTAAAACATTTAATTTGACATTAATACAAAGTGTACTTTGTGTAATGAAACAGTGATGAAAAAATATACTTTTAGCAAGTGCACTTTCAGGTAACCATTCAATACATTAAGCGCACTTCTTAATCACAAAGAGCCTTTTCCATAATGACTATATTGTCTTGTTCTCTTCTGCAGGAAGCTGCGCCTTGTTGATGTGGAGGTCTTCCACAACGAGCAGGAATCTGTGGAGTTGTCTGCTTTTCAGCAGTTAGTCAGCAAACACATTGAATATGCCACAGGCATCCTTCTCAAAAAGTAAGCACTCTCAGCTGTTTTCCTATACTTGTCAATTCATCAGCGACCACATGAATTGATCGTCCATCCCAGCTATCTGTTGAATTTTTCACGGATGAAGACAATAACTTGACAATGAATGATTTTGGTTGCTACTCAATCTTGCAGTAGGCAGTTACAAGTTGTCGACAGCTGAACAGAATCCAAATCATTTTCTTAAGCTTAGCAGACTGTACTCTGCAAAAACAATGCAACTCCAATTATTTATTTTCTTGTTTTGAATCAAACAGGTGGATACCAGAAGTGCAGCAAATCTGTTGTCTTGGTAGCAAGCGCAAACTGATCCCTAGCAACAGTAGTGTTGCTCGACTGCAGTCTTTCTACAACTGCCTGGCCACGCTCATGACCTACCAGCTCCAAAGCCTGGCACTGGAGTCTATTCAGGACTACACACACCTCATCGCCCAGGACCCTGTAAGATCTGTAGCACTGTGAATTCTGAACCTTTTTTTCTTTGAACAAATATAATTTTTATATCACTGTGGAATCTTTTTTTGCTTCAGTGTATCTTTTATTATTTACATTTTGACAGCCTTTATAAATCCCTATGGCCTATGAAGTAATATGTTTTTTTTTTCCCCACTGAAGCGGTCAGCGCGAGCCTATGATCATCCAGGGTTCGTCCTAAGGCTGGTGCTGGATCAAAATACTATCAGATTTGAACCTGATTTCAAAGACTTTGAAGTCACTCTGCTAAATGTGTATGACATGATGCTGAAATCCTTAAGTTTGATCCCTCGAGTAGAGATGAAGCTGTACTCAGAATGGGTAAACATATGTTTTTTTAATTTTATGTTACATCTCGTTTGTGCTGTGTTGTTTGATAGCTATATTAATATTAAAGGGAACATATCATGAGGAATCAAATTTTCATTGATCTTTTTAGATAAAAGAGTTCAGTGTACTTGAAAACATTTTATATGTTCAGAATTCAAAACGTCTTGCTCCAGTGAAAACAGACAATTTATTGAAACTATGTCACAAAGATTTTTCATTCTGAAACAGAACTCGGTTAACTTAGTTAACATATATATTTCTAGCAAGTTATGAATGTTTTGAGCACAAAAAAGTATAGTGGCCTTCAGGGAGAAGAAAAGTGTGATATCACTTCTTTAACACTGTACAAATATTACCGATAGTTAGGTTGCATCAGCTAAATATTATCAGCCACTATAACCAAACACACTTGTCATGAAGACTTTACTCTGATTATTGTCATTTCTGTGTCATGTGTTTACACATTTATACTAATTCAAGCCTGGCCCAGAAACACATCATACTCTGAAGCCAATCATTTTGCCGGAGATCCTGAAGGCCCAGCAGGAGAAAATCACACATGTAATATGTGCAGAAAGAGCTGAACCTTTGAAGCATGTGCGTCTTTATGATAAGTATGCTCCGCTGGTGTCCCAGCAAGCTGAGGAGGATGTTACCCAGTTCCTGCAGGAGCAGCACTCCTTCCAGGAGCTGATGATGGAGGTGACACGCTACCAGCAGTTGGCTGATGAGATCCAATACAACACCCTGAAGGTTGATGGTTATTAACAGTCCACATTTTAGCAGCCTTTCCCCACAGAATTATGGCCAAAACCTTCATTTATTGTGTTCTGTGTTTAAGGTGGTGCGTTTGGGCATGTTTGAAGTGCACTCCCATGATCTGGTCCGTGCCCTTGTGAAGCGAGCAGAGGGTCTCCTGCAGAAACTGGTCACTCACATGTTGCAGGGTCATCAAGAGTTCAATAGCAAGTGAGTCTCTGACAAATTTCCAAAACATTTGTTCAGTAACCGGTTAGTAATCCATGTCACTGATCTCTAGGTTGTGTGAGGAATATGATACAATATCAAATAAAGCCCTTAGAAATCCATCAAACACACAGGAACTCATGGAACTTACGGTAATACTGACCCCCATCTCTATCTTTGAACCTGTCTCTGTTTAGTTTCTGTCGACAAACAAAAGCTCTTTCAGTACTGTATATTATTTTCTTTTTGTCATAGGCATATGTGATGAAGGTGGAGGCTGAGGAAATGCCTCAGTTGGAAATGAAGCTTCAGGAGTCCAATAGCAGGTTGTGTTTCTTGGTGGATTATATCACATTCTCGCACACAGACATTCAGCTGAACAGCAAGACCTTCCAGTGTCATGCACGCATGCCTTCCGTCTTTGATCAGCACCGCCAGATTATCAAAGAGAAGACCAACCAGTTCCAGAATGGCCTGAAGGTACTAGAGATGCCACATGCTGGTCAATCAGCACAGACACCCTAAAAACAATTGATCAAACCAAACATGGAAACATACCCTGGAAACAGACACATCGAATCTTCACATTATGCAACACTTTGTACATTACATACAGGTGCATCTCAATAAATTAGAATGTTGTGGAAAAGTTCATTTATTTCAGTAATTCAACTCAAATTGTGAAACTCGTGTATTAAATAAATTCAATGCACACAGACTGAAGTAGTTTAAGTCTTACACCAGACCTGAACTTTCTCATTTTCCTCTTGACAATACCCCATAGATTCTCTATGGGGTATTGTCAAGAGAAACAAGACCAAAAAATGCAGATGAGCTGAAGGCCACTGTCAAAGAAACCTGGGCTTCCATACCACCTCAGCAGTGCTACAAACTGATCACCTCCATGCCACGCCGAATTGAGGCAGTAATTAAAGCAAAAGGAGCCCCTACCAAGTATTGAGTACATGTACAGTAAATTAACATACTTTCCAGAAGGCCAACAATTCACAAGAATTTTTTTTTATTGGTCTTATGAAGTATTCTAATATGTTGAGAGAGTGAATTAGTGGGTTTTTGTTAAATGTGAGCCAAAATCTTCACAATTGAAAGAACCAAAGACTTAAACTACTTCAGTCTGTGTGCATTGAATTTATTTAATACACGAGTTTCACAATTTGAGTTGAATTACTGAAATAAATGAACTTTTCCATGACATTCAAATTTATTGAGATGCACCTGTAGTGCATATATGAACAATTAGGGAAAACAATAAAGAACCTCCAAGCATGAGTGTTTATTCTATACTTAGCAGTGACAAAACATTTGAAAAAATTTATTTACCAGCAACTAAAACACAGAGACACAAAAAGTAAAATCTAAGCAGAAATTCAAACATAAATTCACCAATAACACATAATTAAAGCTCTGCACTTTGATGTTCAATCTGGCACTGCTGCACTATTACATAAAATAATGTGTGTTTTTAAATCGTAGTTGAGATGTGAGAGGGTTGTAGAGGATATCGAGAGCTATGAACAGCAAGTGGAGGACTTTATGACCTTTGGTGACGTCTCTGAGCTCAACAAATATCTGAAAAAAGCCCAGGCCCTCAATTCCAAACTGGATTTGGTTATGGAAAAGGTACTGTGTACTCTGGACAAAAGCATTATGGTTTATTTCACTGCTTCATTAGCAAGGTTTTCATCCACATTATATAATGAAACTTTGGGATATTGCATAAAAATGCTAAATGGAAATACCAAGATGTAAATAAAATATTATTGTCATTATGAAAAGCTCAAGCCTGTTCGCACAATCTAAAGTGCAGGGGGAAAAGAGTTTTAGAGTGCCTCTGAGAATAGCCGCTCTTATCGTTGCACCTGCATAATCAAACTCATTCACTCTTTTATCCATCAGATCAGAGGCTTCAACCAGGAGGAGGAGGCCTTTGGCTGGCCTGTCTCTCAGTACCCACAATGCAAAACTGTTCAAGACCATCTGCTCCCTTATCTGCGGCTGTATGAGACGGCGGCTGAGTTTCAGAATCAGCACCGTCAGTGGGTGAACGGCCCACTCTCAGCTGTCAACCCGGACAAAGTGGAAGCTGACGTGGGTAACTACAGCCGTTCCCTGTACAAGCTTGAAAAAAGCTTCCAGGACTCACCCAAAGCTCTTCAAATCGCCACCTCTGTGAAGACAGAAGTGGAAGCCTTTAAGGAACACATTCCTTTAGTGCAGGTGATGGTTTTCATTTGAGTCACTGTCCCAACTGTCCATTTTTGACGGTACCTCACTCTTATTGGTAGCTGAAAGCATTGTAAATTATATTTAATGAAGAACATGTAAGGGGCTGAAATCTGCTGTGCTTTCTGGGGAATTCTGAGAGTGCAGATTCTATGCTGGGCTGCTCATTAATTATGGGGATGATTTGTTTCGGCAGGTGCTTTGTAACCCTGGTCTCCGCGAGCGCCATTGGGAGGCCATGTCTGCAGTTGTCGGCTTCCCCATCAAGCCCTCAGAGGAGGATGCCTGTGTGGCCCAGTTTCTTCCACTGCATCTGGAAGCTCACCTCTCTGCCTTTGAAACCATCAGCGAAGGGGCCAGTAAGGAACACGGCCTTGAAAAGGCCATGGAGCGCATGGCTAGTGAATGGGAGGGGATAGAGTTCACCCTCCTGCCCTATCGTGAAACTGGAACCTCCATCCTGTCCTCATTGGATGAGATCCAGATGCTGCTGGATGACCATATTGTCAAGACCCAGACCATGAGGGGCTCACCATTCATCAAGCCATTTGAGGCCGAGATACGGTGAGAGATGAGTGTTTGTGCATATTTTGCACTCAATATGAACGTGTATGCAAAATTAATATGCAAAGTTTATACATACTGTATGTAATTCTGGTTGGCCAGAATTGTAGATGTCATATTTGCTTATTCACATTTGCTTTTTATAATCATCGTCTAGAGCTTGATCATTACTGGGCCACAAGCCGGCTAAGAATTTCACAAATCTACTTCTAAATTTCTTGGGGCTTTGTTTCTAAATTTCTAGGTTTATTTACTTATTTAAATCATAATATGTAACAAAATGCAGGTATGTGGTGCAGATCATTTCATTAGTTTAAATTTTACAGATCAATTTACTCTATAGAGCACTGCTAAAATTTATTTTAGTTTACATCTAATTTTCTGCCATATCGGCTGTAATTTATTTCGTCAGACAATGATTTATCAAGGAAATTTTACTAGGGCACAGCAAAACCTTACTGGGGCTTATACCTCATTAAAAGGGGTCTAGCTATGATTCAAAATTTGCATGTGAAACAAGCAGTTTTTTTCCCAACAGTCAGGCTGAAAGGTTCTGTGCAAGGTGAGTAACAGTGACATTAGCATTTCCATTAGAACACAGTTCAGTATGGTATGATTACAAAATCGTACATGCACTAATTCTGTGTTGGTTTAATAGCTTTAGTGTCTCGTGATTAGTCACATACTTTGTAATCCTGATTTTGAAGCACCAAAATGGAAAAAGAGACTGTATCAGTGAGCCCAAAATGGTACAGAAAAGTGTTGCTATTTATCTATTTATCTCACTTGTTTACACTGTGTGTCTGTATGCATGTATCTCAGGGACTGGGAGGGCAAACTGCTTTTGCTGCAGGAAATTATGGATGAGTGGTTAAAGGTTCAGGGCACCTGGCTCTATCTTGAGCCCATCTTCAGTTCCCCAGACATCATGGCCCAGATGCCCGAAGAGGGACGTCGCTTTACTGCTGTGGATAAAACCTGGAGGGACACTATGAAACAAGTCAGCCTGGTGAGTCAGAAAGCCCTACATATGCAGCAAAATATAAAAACAAACTTGGGTTTGTTTATATCTAGAACTGAGAATAACTCTTTGTAAAAGTTCCTGACATATCAAACTATAGTGTGTTCATGACAAATGAGACGGCTATGAGACACACACCCAAACACAGTCACTCATCTAGAGACTCTTTGGCAAGTAATTGGCAAGCCCGGTCTCAGTGCTCTGAGAGACATCAATATCTGTTGTCTCTCCTCTAAACGGAAAAAAAAGTCACCTGGCTGTACCGTCAAATAGGAATTATGGATTTTGTCTGGAGGGACTCAAATCTAGGAGTGTGCGGAAAACAAGGTCATTGAGCATCACGAGGCATGCTGCCTGCCTCCCCGAGGTTTGAAAAAATGAGTGTCCATAGTTTAAAAAAAAAAACTCAGCACTTTTATGTGAGTTAAGACGCACTATCCTAATTCATCACAGACTCTTCAGAGACAATTTTCTGACAGTTGACAAACACTCTCTGAAATGGAAACTCACTATAGCCATATATTCTGTTCTACATGTATCTAAAGCGATTATGTCGATAAGCATGCTGTTGAAAAACAGCTTTGTGCTTAATCAAGCTGTAATCAGATAATACTATTGACTGCCATATCAGATTGTCCACTAGGTGTCTCTCTTCATCTACGGTACCCACAGAACTGTTCATTGCCTCCAGATTTTATTTACTCTTTTCTAATGTGTTTCTAACTTTCCCCTTTTGACAGAAACGGAGATAAACATTCTGTAATTTAATTCAGAATTCTGGGTTTCTTTAAGGATGTTTTCTTTTTGAATAATTCCTACACCACTCCACGATTTCCACATTACGGACCGTAAATGACTCTTCTTGGAAAAGCAAACACGTATTATTTTAGCTGGAAGGCAGGTGCTTTTGCCTGTTGCTGCTTTATAGGAAACAGCAGTACATAAAGAAATGCATGCTTATAATATCAGTGGGGTATTTGGGGGATGCAGAGTCCAGTTTTTATTTTTGCTGAAGACACAAGAAGGACATATGAAGTTGTTCTGGATCCCGAGGTGTGATGCTACTGTAAATGAAAGGCAATGCATTCATGAAGAAAATGTGATCTAGTAACTGTGAATATCTTGGCTCTGTTGAGCAGCCCACTTGCATGTCTCTGCACCCTGTGAAAGGAAGCGGATGATTTTCAGCATTCCTTCATTCAGACGCATTCCGGCAGCACTCACCCTCTCACTCTAATGTAATTCAGTGTGACGGAGAGGGAGAATAATTAAAAGAGTAATTGGCATAAAACATCCCCTCTCTCTTTCATTAGAGTCATCCAATGGTGTCTTTTCATGTTTTAAAAGGGTTATTTTGTGTAGGCTTTGGTTATTAACAACCCCTCATTACTTCCTCTCAGTCCCTGTCAAGAAATCAGGCCTTTTTGTCATCTAAAAGTGATCGTTAAACCTCAATCTCTCTGTGAATGTGAAGTCTAGTCACCGTAGGTAATAGAAAATCAATAGCAATCCGAAAAGGGGAAAAAGCAATTATTATCTCTTTACAGGTGAGGAGCATCTGTGAGGGGTGGAAAGGGAGGGGGCGGGGTATCCAATTGTTTCCTCTCTCTCTAATGAAGGACGTGGCCTTCATACAACCTTTGGAGGAACGTTTGAAAATCAGACAGCGAAAGATAGGATGAGTTTTCCTGATGGGAGACACCTTTCATAAATGAACTCTTTTGTGAAAGCAGGGAAATATGGCTATGAATATCATCTTTTCATCACTGGATTTGTCTGGCAGAACTTTGAGGGCAGAGAATTAAAAGCAGTCTGATGGTTTTTCATTATTGAGTTTCTCAGCTGCAGCTGCACTTGAAAACATCACGCACGGTCCAGAGGCTTCCTTTAGAGATCAGTCTAATATGCCCCATTACGGACAAATATGCACTTTACTGATCTACTAAATTATTAGTGTTGTTTGATATAAAAGATATTTCTCATACATACAGTAAGGGATTTGAACAAACCCTTAAGTATTAAACTTCAGGGAGTAATTTGCATCGGCATAGATATTACTGTGGGGCTTGTTGAGGAGAGGTGTTGAAAATGGTTGAATCACATGTACACTGAAGGAAGAACCCAAGCCATATCTAAGAACCAGAATATTGTAGTGACTTGTTGAATTTTATAACACATAGCTAAATATTAAGTTTCTCTCTTAGGACAAGCATGTCCTGGCAGTGGTGGCCATTGAAAAGATGCTAGAAAAGATGAAAAGCAGTAACGAGTTGCTGGAACTCATTCTCAAGGGTCTGAATGAATACCTGGAGAAGAAGAGACTCTATTTCCCCCGCTTCTTCTTCCTGTCCAATGACGAGCTGCTGGAGATCCTCTCAGAGACTAAGGATCCAACCAGGTACAGGGGAGCTTTTAAAAGTACTGTGTAATGACAGTCTGATAGACTGGCTGATATTTGGTCATATATTTCTACATTTTACTAATAGCTGTGTCAGTGGGTAATGGATTTTTTTGTGAATTCTGAGTAAATGTTGTGTAAATAAATTTTTCTTTTCATTTTAACAATGTTGTGGCATCTCATGTGCTATCACTGTAGTACATTCACCAATTTTGAAAGTTTGGGGTTGGTACGATTTTAATCAAAGAAGTCTCTTATACTCACCAAGGCTGCATTTATTTATACAGTAAAAACAATAATATTGTGAAATACTATTACAGTTTAAAATAACTTACTTCAATGTGTTTTTAATCATTACTCCAGTCTTCAGTGTCACATGATCCTTCAGACATCATTCTAATATGCTGATTTGGTGCTCAAGAAACATTTCTTATTATTATCAATGTTGAAAACATTGGAAGCTGTGATCCATTATTTTTTAAGGATTATTTATGTGTGTGTGTGTTTAAAAGATTTATCTGAAATGAAAGAATTAATTTTTTCCAAATAAATAAATAAGTACTGATCCCAAACTTTTGAATGGTAGTGTATACAGTATATTTTGCCATTGTAACTGTCATCAGCGATCATGCTTTCTGAATGTAAGTATATGCACTGACCATCAAAAAACACATATTGGTCAACCACTAGTGATCATTCTGCTTGATCTATTTCTACCGGTGCAGTTACAAATGTTCCTGAAGCTATAGAAAGTGTCAGGATTTCTGTGGGTTTGCACTTTTAGTGTGGTGTGAGTTACAGTAATCTCACACTTTCTCCATATCCTCAAAGGAAAAGAGGCTTAAAGGTGACATTTCTGGAAGCAACATGATTTATAGGCTTGAGGAATATTGTTTGTCAGCAGTTAAGAGGATCTAATTTGGAAGTCTTCTGTTTTCAATATTCTTGCTGTTTTGGATTCGCTTTGTTGATAGATTGCTTTATAATAAAGCCAGGCTGTGTGACTGAATGTCGGAAAGAACTATGGTAGATCAGTATGTGCTATATCAATTATTAAAAAAACCTTAAGATGATGCAAGTTTGGGTCAATTTTTGATGTGCAGTGCTGCTATGCTTTCTTTTTCTGAATTTTCATGAAGAATAACTGAGTGAAACTGTATCACTACAACTCACACTCTGAAATATAGTTTTACATGGTATTTTTATCATCTAGCTTTGAAACAGATGACTAGTAGTATTTATTGGATATTAGTAGTTTCAAATTGCTGCTACAAAGTCCCAAGATTTCTGAGGGTTTAGTAAATGCAAGAATTTTCACCTTGATGTAGAATATAGGCTGGATGTAATTTACTCTAACATGAAATAAGAAACACAGCATTCACTCTGCAGAGCTTTAATCTCAAGCCTGTGATATTTATGAATATATCTTATGTTTTCACATAGCCTACTTTGGCATGTCTCCCATGGCAAATCCAACTGATGTTACGCCGCCTACCTAACCACTGCTACCTACATAAACATTTAGTATGTGAGGCCTCAAAAGGAACAGGGAAGGACAAATGAAAAGCAATTTAGCTTCACCTCGGCCTCGGAAAACCCAATTTGAACCCCTTAAAACCCAGTATTTACTGAGGGAATTTAATTATAGTGCTTTTTCTTCTTCCTGTGACACTCTGGCCTAGTTTCTCTGCTGTGGCTCCCCTGTGCAGGCCCTTAACGTATAAGCAAATCTAGTTATATTTCACCCCAGGTATTTGTTTAATGATGAATGATGATGCCTCAAATGCAAGTTCAAATTGTACTACTATAGGGCTTTTGGTTTCACAAACTAGGAATGTTGGCCTTGGCTGGCCTTGCCTTTCTGCTCTATTACCAGTTCTGATCACCTCTCTCTTGCTTTCTTTCTCTTTATCTCTCTCTCGCTGTGTCATTCTCACTCGTCTTTTGTGTCTCCTACATTTCTATTATATTTGAAAGGGAATGTTAGCTTTACAGAAATAAAAAAAATCCGAATTGCAGCAGCTGTTTTGCTGAAGTGTGTATTACAAAGTACTGGAGGGTGGAAGTGATAATGAAGGAAGTTAGCAGAGTCACTGACTTAGGGAAAATTCGTCCGTGCTATCGTCTGACAGTGTTACACGTTTGAGTATTGCTTTTTCTCTGAACCTGAGATTTCTGAACATCTAGGTGTTCCTGAAGCATGTCACCTCAAATGAAATATCAAACTTGTGTTGGAAACGGGCAACAGTTCACCGTCGGCTTTATGTTCCAGGGTGCAGCCCCACCTGAAGAAGTGTTTTGAGGGTATTGCTAACGTCGTGTTCACTGACATTTTGGACATCACTCATATGAGGAGCAGCGAAGGAGAGGTGGTGGAGCTGCTGGATATCATCTCTACATCTAAAGCTCGTGGGCAGGTGGAGAAATGGCTCCTGGAGCTGGAGACTGGCATGCTCCACTCCATTCACAAGGTACCGAAGTGTATGAACTTTCTCTGAGTCAGTGGATTTCTGAATAGCAGAAATGGAAACAATTTAATTGGATTCGATTTAGTTTAGTCTGGCTTGTACGTTAGTTGGTTCTGTTGACAAATCCTTTACACAGGTAATTGCTTGTGGTTGTACAATTACAGTTTTTGGTTTTTGAGAGTTAATAATACAGTGATATACAGTGCCTCTAAAAACATTCACCCACTTTAGATTTTTTTTAATATATATATATATATATATATATATATATATATATATATATATATATATATATATATATATATGTAGCGATGTAGCG